CAATTATTTTGTGGCCAGCTTCCATCATACCTTAAATTGAACTGTGGCAAGGTCTCTGCCATTGCTGTCTGTATGGCGGAGCTCTGGGACCAACCCCAGAGCATCCCAAGGTAGGCACCAACAATCAGCTGGTTGTTGATCCTAGCCCTGGGACTACACTGATTCACTGGTCACCTTGCTTTTGTATTTGCCAATACAGAGGAGAGCCAGGGATCATGATCCTTAGCTCCCCCTGTACTGGCAAATATTAATGGTGCAATTGGGATCTGATCCCTGAATCCAAAATCATGCATCCTGCCAATATGTGTGGCATGGCAGGAGGTGATATTTTTGGGATCAGGGCCCATCAGGCCATTAAGTTAGCATGTTTCAGGGGTCTTAACTAAAGTAACTGCTGGTTAACCAATGAATGAAATGGCTTTGAATGAGACATCTTCCCCTATATCTATCATGACACAGCATTAGGGACAAAAGACTGTAATTCCAGAAACTCTCTAAAAGGGTTATAAGGATAAAAAGATTAACTGTTGTTAAGAATTTTTTTAAAAGGCATTTGTTGGGAATCTGATATTAAATTCTTTTTCAGTTTGTATGAAACGACTCCACATTCCCTGGCAGAGCACATATTTAGCAGTGGATGTTTCAAAAATTTGACCAACAAGGGTAAAAGAGATTTGTAGTACAAAAAATAAATTTTTAACTACAGACCTCTTTTAGCCCTGTTGATCACATTTCTAAAACATCCATTGCTAAATGTGCGCTCTGTGGAGTCGTTTCATACAAACCGAAAAAGAATTTAATGTCAAATTCCCAGCAAATGCCTTTAAAAAAAAATCCCCATAACAATGCAAAACTGAGAGAAAAAGAGAGAGACTGTGATGGAGAACAAATGAAAGAGAAAAGAAAGGACCTTTGCTATTAAATTACGAAACATTTGGAAAAGCTTGAAGCCAATGATAAGCTTATGTGACATTTCTATTAATCCACGTTTGTTTTCACTGCAATAACATTACCGAAGGAGAATGGATATTTTCAGAAGGATACTTTGATGTTAAACAGTATCTTCAGTGTCTTATGAACAAAGGCTTGCCTTCAGATCAAAAATATGTATCTTGTGTGTGTCTCATTTTTGGGGGGATAATTTACTGTGGTCAGTTCAAGGTCAGACTAGTTTAGCTTTTGCACAATACAAAAACTTATATCAGCTCCTAAAAATATTGGTAAAACTTGAACTATGTCCTATGTCATTATGTCCATAACACAAGACATGATGTAACATTTATTGATATTTTCTATTAGAATTATTTTTAAGGGGGGAAATGTAGCAAAAGTACTTTATTCTGATCATTATTTGCCAAAAGTGTCTGAGCATTACCCTTGTCTCAGCTCTTGAAACTAACAAGCTTGTTTAGCATAGTATAAATATAACAACATTAACAGCTCCAGGATGGTATATATTTAAAAAAATCCAAAGCAATAATACACTACAAAACCTGATGTCCCTCATGCACAGGTATTTGGTTTGTTGCAAAAAAGTCTTGATGCATGTGAAGTGTGTGTAGGCAAAAAAAAAAAAAGAAAAAAAAGAATATCAATACATACATACATTACCATCTTTAAATTTCCACATTTTCAAACCACTGAAACACACAATACATCTGCTAAATTTTGTAGCACACCTATTAACATTATGTAGGATATTTGCAAAAGGATCTGTAGGAACAGCAACCTAAAAGCATTCACAACTACAAGGGAAGCCAGAGCTAAGACACCTTTACTGAAAAAAGATCCTTGTTATTACCTGCAAATGGTCACAAGGGGCAACACCTAGTTTATTTAGTGACCTCTGCTGGATGAAGCAACTAGATGACTACTACTCCTTCAGAGAAGAGTGTCACATGTGACTATCAGGTAGTCACTGGATATGGGCACGTGCCCTTGCATCTGGTTGACATCCACCGGACTTCTCCAGGGCAACGTGACCCTCAGTCAGTCTAGATGGGGCTCTTACTCTCTCTCTCTATTCCCACCTAACACAACTTTGATGTTTTTTGAAGTTGTTAACGAAAGGGAGAGGTGGTGACTTCCCTGCCCCAACCATGACTGACAACTGGTTCATGCCCTGAACTCCACATTGGCAAAAACAGAGAGAACAAAAGGACCGGAAAAAAAAAATTGTTTATTGGGCACGTCGAAGTCCCTCTTCAGTAGCTGAGACCTGGACAACCCCTTTGCTTTGCCTGTTGTCTCACAGGCGTTTGACTCCCTGCGCCCACCGGCAACCGGAGAGGTTTTTTTTTCCTTCGATGATTGCTTCCGCACCTGGCTTAACTGGCTACCCATGGTAGCTAATCAGTGCATACAAAAAAAAAAAAGAAAGTAAACTGAGGGAGAGCACTGGTTTCTTCCCTCTCTCTCTTCCCTGGGCTTTAACCGCCTTCTCTCTGGCGCCTGACTCGCGACGACACCAGTGAATGGGGTTTCCTTTTCCACTTTTCTCTCTTTTTCTTTAATCGCTGCTGCACCCAGCTTAATTGGCAGTCCACGGCAGTTAATCAGCATGTACAATGAAGGACAGAGCAAGCTGCTAAGGAGCTTCTGTTCCTTCTCCCTCTCCTTTCTTTTTCTTTTTCTTTTTTGAGGTGGGGTGGTGGGGGTGGGTGCTCCTCTGAGCCTCTGAGACCGGATCTGTCTCTTATGCCGCTCCCGGGGACATCAATCTCGGCTTGGGTATTCCAATCGTCCTACCTGCCTGCCATCTTCCTTCTTCACCTCCCCGTTCCCCCCACGTTCCGTGCTCACACCTGGTGATAAAGCAAATCTGGGGCAGACTGGGAGCTCCTGTAGTAGCATGGAGGTGTTATTCTGGCCGGACCTATGCCGGTGGCTGAGGGGACACCCCACATGAGTATCCTCTGGTCCTTCACAGTGATACAGCTACAACCGTCTTTGTTGGAAAATCTAAGACCTAACAGGAAGGCAGTGGAACATGCAACTAACATCAGCCATATTAATGTCAATGGGACTATGAACAAGCTTAAGTGCATCAAGCCAGAGTGGTGGTTGGGAATTCTATTTTGAGGAATATTTCTTCACTGTCTCAGAAGGGAGTCACATGAAGGTCTGTGAGTTGGGGGAAGACAGGAAAACTGGGGCATAAACATGCCTCGGAAGAATCTTTTTAGTTGATGAACAAAAAATTAAGTATTCCTATATAAAGATTACGTGTTACAGATGCCAGATGGATTACTGTAGCCAGAGCAAGTCCTAACTTTTAAAAAAGTAAATAATACAGTATACAAAAATAATAAGGAAAAATAGGTTCTGTCTCGTCACTACAAGTTCCATACTATTCAAAACTAAAACAACAGAATTAGATACCAGCATCTTTCTTCATGCTTGAGAGCTGATGGTAAAAGATAAGTTAAAAAAGTGAATTTTTTCTTCCCATATGTTTATGATAACAATTTTTGCACACTATTACAATTACAGGAACATAACTTAGAAAATTAAAGTATGACAAGTGGCACCTAGGATTCTTAAAAACTCTCTCATGGGGAAGTCTATTTTGACTACATATTCACTAATCTTTTATGGTGCTTTTTCTAGAAATCTTGATTTTCTGGTTATTCCAACTGTCTTTTTGAAACATCCCTTAAAAGTGTATCTTGGGGAGTATTGTTCATTTTATTTTTTACTTTACTTCCCTTACAAAGAAGGCTCTGTACTTAGCAAAGGCAGTGAAAAGAACAGCCAGTTTTGGCAAAACAATGGTATTGCAACCTTGTACTCAAAGTTATAGCACTCACTCATGGTTTATCACCACCAATACATTTATTTTGTATTTTTTTCTCATTCTCTTTAAATGTTCCCACCATAGGAAAGAGAATATCAACACATACATATATCTTCTTTAAATTTCCACATTTACAAGCCACTAGAAAATACCAAATAGGCCCCACCAGACTGTATGAGAGGTGGATATTATAATACTATTATCTCCCGATTGCAGGCAAACTGGGGACAGAAAAATTAAATATGCCCAAAATCTCCCAGTGAATCAGCACCTGAGACAACTTGGAGTTCAATCTCCTGATTCTAAAGCTTCTCTGGCAAATCTTTTACCCTGTTAAGAACAAGCATGTCAATATTCTGATGGAAAAATTGTTCTGATTCAGGCCAAAATTAACAGATGTGGCTTCTTGGTTATATAGAATTGTCTAAAATAGAAGCCATTTCTCACTAACAGGCAACATTAAGAATTTTAAAAATTAATAATGTGCTGTTTCTATCTTATTATATGGCACTCCTTCTCCACCTTCCACCCCTGCCCCCAAGCTCTTCCCCTTAGTCTTTCAATGGAATAAAATAAAAACCCAGTAAATTAATTTAATAGTTTCAATAATGAATAAAACAGAAAGCCAATTTACTGTTTTGATCACAATTGTAATTTGAAACTGATACAAAAGAAATTCTCAAAAAATACAATTCTGTTGCTTTTAGAATTATTTTTTCCCTTGAAGTTTTTTAACAATTTTCAGTAAACATTATAAAATTGTTTGTTTAAATCTAAGGGCATGTTTGTATTTTAACAGACCAGCAAACCGACTATGTCCAATCCATAGACAAACTTTTTTCCCCCTTTTTCTTTTTCAACAGATATATTTTCAAATGAAATTGCTAGTGTTAACTGTATTTATTGTGTTTAAATATTTTGACACAGGCATGATAAATGCAGAAAATCTGGAACTAAAACTCTGTACTAATAATTTTAAGTAGTAATAACTAAATGCAAATCTTTATGGAAAATAGTTTGAGGTAAAAAAAGTTTAATATTTCTCTGGCCCTAATTACACTGTATAAGGAACTACACTGTATTTAACTGTCAAGTTGCCATAAAGTGCTGCACAATAAACTTGATTAGTATAATGAAGGGTAAAATGCTCATGAAATAGAGACTGTATATTTGAAAAAGCAAACAAATTAGAAAAGAGGCTCACCACTGTGAGTAGTAAAAAGATGCTGAAGAATCAACGAAGTGCCCGGAGTACTTGGCAGCTTTAACTTGGAGTGTGGTGACAGCAATGATGGAGCAGGAAGCAAAAGATTTGAGCTGGCCTGTAATAGGAAAGGCAAATCAGAAACGAAAATGTAATTTCCTGGGTTATTTATGATGCAAGAACTAAATGAGAAATATCTGCTCACTGTAAATAATTATTAAATTCTAGACAGAATGAAAATCACATTATATGCAGAATAGCAATTTAATTGGTTTACTTTTTTGGAAGGATATCTGGGAACACAAAGTTGAAAACTTATCGGTGGTTTAAAATATAATGGTATGTTAACATGTCTACTACTTATTAAGATACTGAATAGTGAAAATTAGCAAATTGTTTAAACAGGTAAATTGGGAAACAAAAACCAACATTTCATGTTATTATTCTGAAGTAAAGCATTTCATTATTCTATTGTGTAAAAGGAATGCTCAGGATTAACCTAAGTATTAACCGTATTTACTCAAATATAAGACAATCCTGATAATAAGACAACCCCCCCAATAATTAGATTCTATATGTGGAAAACATATGCATTTGATATAATTTTCCAGGTACGTAATCTAATATTGGAGATGTCTTGAATTTGTCCCCTTTCCACTGTTACAGCAGGGAAAATAAATCTGGGGGGATCAAGTCCACCCCCCCTCCCAACTTCTTTCCCTTGCAGCCCTTTCCCCCTAACCCCTGTCAGACCTTGCTCTCCCTGAGCACAGGGAAATGAGGAGCAAATCTGAAAAAATTGATCTTGAAATAAACACAGCTGTAGCAATTTGCATATAGAACCAATAGACTTAGTTCACCTAGAAATGATTCATTTTACCTTTTGTGAAACCGCTGCAAGTTTTAACACAGGTACTCCATAAATACACTTTTAAGTAGCACTTTAGCACCTACTTAGAGAGACTACAACTATGCATAATATTAGCCTAAAGCAAAAAGGCTCATTATTCACCATATACTTCATTTGGCTGAGCCCCAGCAGAGTCAACAGCATTTCAAGCCATAGTGAACTCTGCTCAGTATGCATGTGTACTCCAGACACCCCCACAAAGGATATGTGTGTTAATTAACCCCTCACTCATAACTAGAATCAGGTGTTCTTGTCATGAGTCCTAGGATCCTCCAAAAATTTATATGCAGATGAGGCAAAGGGCAATGTGGTCTGGCTTCACCTCATGGAGTGCAGAGCCACACTGATCACACATGCTAGGCTGAAAGAGAGGGGCTGACAGAGGGACTCTGGGTACTGTTTGGGGTCCTGTTTGGTGATGTCAGACAGACATTTAAGGCTGGTGAAAAAACAGGAATCATTGGAAATGGGAAAGACGCAACTCAGCTGTAGAGCCGAACAGGAAGTAAAAATTTATGCAATTGTAGACTGAGCTCAATAGGCGCTACCATATGTCTTATTTACGTGGTCTACACTAACCTGTGCTCGGGCTTTTGGCCAAGATCAAGTATTTTTGGCACCACGGGGAGGGTGTTAGGTCTGGCTCTGGCCCTCCCAGTAGTAGCCTGGTATTGCAATATCTCCAGGCACGGTTCCCTGTGGAGGGAACAATTGCCCATTTTGTAAGGGCGAAAAAAAAAGGTTCCCATGAGCATTTTTGGCACCAGGGGAAGATGCTGGAGCTTGCTCCAGGCTCTCCAAGTCCTGGCCTAGTACTGCAGTATTTCCAGGTCTAGTGCTCATTCCCTCATGGGGGAGCAACTATACATTTTTTAAAGGGCATGCACGCACGTGCACAAACATACACACACACACAAAAGTTTCCCATCAGTATGTTTATCCCATATGAGCTATGTATTTTATAATCATACTCAATGTTGGGTGCAATCAGCTTCATAGTTGGTTTCCACTAGTGAGCACATGCTGCTTTTAGTAGCAGTACAAATACAAGCAATGTATTTAATACAGTTTCCCTGCATATGAACGTAAGATGAGGGGCTTTTTCCCCATCTTGATTGGGGGAAAAAACCTTATCTTATATTCAAGTGAATACAGTAAAAGGTTAAAATAGTCATACAAGAAACTAATTCATTGTAGATTGTAGGACATATTTAGACCAAAACACCAGGTACTTCCTTTATAGAGACTACACAAAAGACACCTGCAGCACATGTGCTTATTTCCATAATGGCACAGATAACATAGTTGCAATCTGGCTTATTATAAGCTTTTGCATATAAGTAGCTATCATGAAATACAACCCCTCCCACTCAAACTTTATCCCAAATGTACAATTAGAGATAGCATATTAAGACAATCTGAGTCATTTACTTGATTAAATAAAACATTTAAGTATGTGTAATACCTATTGTCACTGGCTGCCTTTGATCATACTGATTTTAGTATATTCCATGATTATTTCCCTAATGTACTACTAGTTTTCGTTAAATGGAATGTTTTAAGATGCTGAAAATGTTAATTTAAAGTAATATGTATAGAAGAAAAAAAAGTCAAGAATTATTTTATCGAGTATATTCTAAAGCCTGGAATAATTCTGTGTAATCAACAAAGCAGATTCAAAGCCCACACAGTTCAATGGAGATCTTCCTATTAACTTTAGCAGTCTCCAGATCAGACCCCTAAGCTTTGGGGGCTTAGGGATCTGATCAAAGAATAGTGCACCAAAGAATAATTATTTAGCCTATTTTTATTAGTCTCTAAAATCTATTTAAATAAGTGGAGCCAGTTTTTTTAAAATAGGTCAAGCTGTTACTTGTTTTCAGAAATGATACAACAATAGAAGTAATGGTTGTATAAATTACAACATATATTAAAAAATTCATTAGGCTTCACTCCTGCAAATATATACACCCATGGTTTAACCTAAAGCACATGTGGTCTCATTGAAGTTAATAGGCTATAAGCATCTGGTTTGGTGAACTCAGTCTTTTATGTTTACTTTTAGACAACTGAAAGGTTGCAGTTACATGCAGCAGAGTTATTCAGTGCACACTTTTATTATCCACAAATCAATTATACAAAATGTTACATTATGATTATAATACTAGATCACATTATGTGGTTTTCACATTTCAGCAAGATAGCTGCAGTATGGATTTAATTTTATTGTAAGCTCTTTGGGACAAGAACTGTCTTTTCCTATATGTCTGTAAAATGCTTAGGACAATAGGGCCCTAACTAAATAAGTATATGCTAACTTAAGAATAAACATTTCCCAAAACAGGCTGTTTTGCTCAATTTCAGATTCAGTGCAATGCACAGATACACCAATGAATAAAATCAAACCAATGAACATGACTGAAGACCCCTAAATAGACTGAATCTTATAACAGAATGAGAATTCAATGTTATGTAAATAGTAATAGGCTTAAAATTTAAGCAAAGTAAAGACAAGGTCTCCTTCCCAATAAAAAGATCAATTTGCCACTTGTCCAGTACCACTTCTCAACTTCCAAGAGAAGTGGTACTGGCTCCTACCCTGGGGGTCTTTAAGAGGAGGCTAGATGTACACCTTGCTGGGGTAGTTTGACCCCTGTACTCTTTCCTGCCATGGCAGGGGGTCAGACTCGATGATCTGCTCAGGTCCCTTCCGACCCTAGAAACTATGAAACATGTACACTTTCTCCTTTCATATGGCCTACAGTTATGCAACTTGCATCAGAAAGTGGTATATGATATGGGCACTAAATAAAACAACAAATTAGACTATTTAAAAAATGGCTCTGTTGTTTGTCACCTTGCTTCTTTGTGAGGTGTGCTCAGTAGATACCTAAATATTTTGACCTCACTATTGGCTCACAATTTTGTTAGCCAGAGCACAGGCTAACAGTCAAGCAAACAAGCAACTATTCCCCTTGTCTGTAGTGCAGAAGAGGCCATGTAGCAATGTTATGTTTTTATTGGGAGGATTGCTGCTTCTGTAGTAGAAACTATGACTGTACAAACATCCATTCACTTTCCCCTGGGAGAAACATACCCCACCTCCCAAGAGAAAGATCTTTCAGGTGTCAACCTGGAAGTTCTCCTTAGTGAGAGAAACTCTCTCAAGAATGAACCCTTGTACTCGTCCCTCCTGGTCTGGGACAGGAATGAAGCATCAAGGCAATGCCCCACCTCTTCCCCAGACTGGGGACTGCCTAGTTGGGGGAACGAGAGGCAAAGAAGAGGCATTGCCCCACTGCTCCAGTCCATTGCTGGAGTGGTCTAAAAATTTCCCAGAGTGGACTAGAGCAGTAGAGCAAAGCCCCCTACCCAGATCAGGTCTAAGGAATGGGCAGGGGTTTTTGCCACATTGCTTCCCCCGCTCCACGCCTGGAGACTGGGAGTGGAGCAGAGGAGGCTCCTCCCTAGTCTAGGGAAGGCACAGGGAGTTTTTGTCCTCTGCTCTACCACCCCTGGGGATGGGAAGGAGTGGAGCAGTGACTGATCTTCAAGCCTTCCCCGGACTAGGGACTGCCCAGTCTGGTGAAGGTGCCGAAAGATGAAAAGAGGCTGTAGGCTGAATGCCTTTCTTCCAGAAAGAAACTGCCACCAGTAGATATGAATACCTGTTTGCAGCCAGAATCTGCATTTGTGCAATGGCTACAACAGCAGACACCTGGGAAAAAGAAGAGCACTGGGCCGCAGGACTTGCAATATTAGTTGACCACGCTGTAGGTCAGGAAGCTTCCTGACTGCCAAACAAGACCCCTATGTATGAGCTTAGGTCATACATCCCAGACCAGATGATTGGAAATCAAGTCTAACATTAGAAAGTTAAGTTTTTTTCATTTAGATTCTTCTCTTTGGAAAGTGATCCTTGTTTCAAATATAAAATATATCCTACCCATAATCTTTCCTCCAAAAATCTTACAACAAAAAACTTAGCTTTTATAAAAATGTATTATTTAAGCTTTCATTTCAAAATATAACTTAACAGTAATCGTTTTGATCCTACAGCTGACACCATGTGAGCAGTCTCTGCACACATCCCTTTGAAATCAGTTAAGCTCACCGCATGCACAAGGAGCCACCCCATGGGAATCAAAACATTATGTTCTTTCAGGCTTTTAGGTTTCTGATATTATTTAAAACTTTATTTTAAGGCT